AAAGCCTGTATTAGCCTGCAATCTTCTTTCACTTCTTTCTTTGTTACTCTTTGCCTCAAGTCAAGCTTAGAAAATAATTAAGCGAGATTGAAACATACCTGAACGAAATTGTAGACAATTGCATATGCATATGTCCCGAAGGTCTTTTTTAATGTAATATATTTTTTCTCTTGATTGTTAAAGAAAGCTGCTCAGTGTTTGAAGACAAAAGCTTTATCTCAAATATCGGTTAAAGGGAAGTTTATCTTTATAGAAAAAAAATTCTCACTTTTCATTCAAGAGAAGTAAATTTTTTTTTTTTTTATGACATTACGACATGAAAAATGAAAGTTCAAAGCGACGCCTATTCATTTAGCTTCTGCCCCTTCAATATACGGATACATATGCGGACAAAATATTTAAATATGGTTTTCATTATGCATAATAATCATGTAATATGATTTCAAATATCGTAACTTTTATCATATCTATGTAATATGCATATGCATATACACTATGCTTACTAATGCAATGAACGATGAAATTTTTTACATTTTATAAAAGGTTTTTCTGGCATTAATTGCTCGTATTCGATATACAAAAAAAAAAAAAAAAAATAATAATAATAAAAAAAAAAAAAAAAAAAACAAAAAAACAATTAAAAAAAATAACAAAAAAAAAATGCAGTTTAAGTCAACAACAAGTTTTTTCTTGTTTTTTAAATATGATATTTTATTTTTCACATTATTTTACCCTTATAGCCGTTCGCTTTAATTTCATCAATGCTTACATAAAACTGCTGAATAGTAAGATATGAGTAGAACGATTGCCTCACGTTCTATGTACTTACTGTAAGATAATATAAACCAGCTGAATAGTAAATATTATTAGTTTTGGATAAGTAAGCAGAAAGTTAATGATAATTTGATTTGCCAGTGCACGGCCATCATTATATAAATTATGTTACTTTTTGGCGGTTGGTTTCATGTTATCATCATATATCATATTGGATATTGGTAATTATCGAAACATGCTGACGTAATGCCGCGTCCAAGGCAATATTATTCTGCAGCTGTCCACTTCGCAGCTACTTAGTTGCTATTTTAATTTTCTAGAATTAGTTAACGATAGTTAGCTTTGGAATTCTTCTATGCTTTAAATTCATTTTCAATTTTCCAAATGCTCTATAGATTAGATGAAGAAGATTTAGTTCGTGACCTATCTACTCGAAATCGAATTGCTGATGAATTTGTTGATTTTTTTTGCAATTCTTATACAAAAATTTATTTAATTCAATTTGAAATTAATTTTAGTTCGATTTTTTGATCAGCTTCGATTTCGAATCTTTGATGATAGCGAGTTTATTTATTTTTTTATTTTTAAATACATGTTTTACTTTAATCGATTAATTTTAATTCATAAAATCAAATTTTTTCAACTCTCGTGTGAATTTTTTCAAAATATCGCACGTTTAAGTTGCCTGATATATAATATAATAAAAAGTGAATTTGATTCTAATTTTGATTTTGTTGCTAATTGAAGCTTATCACAACTTTTAAAATATCTTTTGAAAAATTCTCGACTTTTTAGCCTTGAGATTGATGAAAAATAGCTCACTTTTTGCATTAGGAGTCAATGACATTAAAATTGACAATTTGCACCGTTTGCTTGCGTTGTTACTGTTGCGTTTTTATTGTACTTTAATAATTTTTTTAAAAATTTCATTTTATATACCGATCATAGTAGAGGTGTACGAATTGTGCTGAACCGTTTGTAATAAAAACTTTCGAGCGTTTAGACCACTACTATGCTTGTCTGTCTGTCTGTCCATCGGATCATTGCCAAAAAAAAAAAAATATAAAAAAGTATTTTAACAAAATTATATGAATTAGCTTTGCTCACAAGCAGGACGAAGACGAAGAAGAAGAAGACGAAACAAGAAAATTTCAATACATTTTCATTAATAACATAATATAACATAACATATATAATTAATAAATTGTGTTCTATAGTTAAGTAAAGATATCTAAGATTTATCTCAAATATTAATTAAAGTCTATTGATAGAAACAATGCAAAAAACAATGGAAGAAAGAAAAAAAAATTTATGTTATGGATATTCAAAATTCGTCTTGAGCTTCATATGTATGTATACAAATATATGTATATAAGCAATTATATATGTATATAACAATTTTCTTGTTTATTATAATTAACGCACAATATGTTATGTGTTTGATAAATTTTGTCACATGATCTAAAGCAGGCAATCCAACTTCGTAATCATCAAAATCAATTGTAAAATGACACTTATTTCAATTAAGCATACATTGGACGATATGAATGCAGCTTAAGCTGAAAGTTTATCATTTTCATTTCGAATGTATTTACCGAATTTCAATCTAGGTTATGTACATACATACATACATATAT